TTACTCCTAGTAGGTCATTAAAATCGACTATTTTACCTGCAAGATCGATTGTTACCCATGAATTACCAAGGAGAACAAAAGAACCCTTTTCGAATATTATTAATGACGAGCATGCAGCAGAAATTTCGACATGGATTGATCGTAAGTCAACAACTTATCTCCCATCCAATGTTCCGTATGAATTTCGATTGATATTACAAGGAACTCGCGATGGATTTAATCCTCAAACTTTCTGGGATAAATGTCATGGTCATGCCAATACAGTGCTCGTTCTGAGGGTTGAAGGAACTGGCGAAATTATTGGAGGATATAATCCTGTAGCATGGGATAAAAGAACTGGAGGAACTTGGTCTTACACAAATGATAGTTTTATTTTTTCATTGAAAGACGGAAACACACAAAATTCAATTATTAGTCGAGTAACAGATGCAAGTTGTGCTGTATATAACTATCAAAGCGGGCTTCAAAATAAATATGGTCCAAATTTTGGTAATAGTTTATATTTATATAATATAAAACAGTTTAAATATAGAAGTGGCTATTGTTATGAAAAAATCGGAGAAATTGGTGGAAATTTCAATATGGCTGATTATGAAGTGTTCGATGTTGTTGGAAAAACCATGTAACAATTTGTCTATTCTGCAAATATTAAAAAATTATTTAAATAAACCGCATATTCGGATACTGTGTATGAATATATGAAAATTTTAAATAATGCGCTACTTTGAAATATTGCTGATACGTATATTAACAGTCAATTCTCAGAAGACATGTGACATTGAAGTAATCAATCCTATGTATAATATAAATAAATTTTTATCCTTGTTTTTGTATAAATTTATTTCAAACCATTTCAATTCGAATAATTATACTTTTTGAAAAGAAACTTAACAAATTTCACTGAGTATTTTTGGATATTTGAAATTTTGAAGGATGGAATAGTTATTAAAAAGTATTCCAAATATTGATTATTAAACTAGGATATTAATAAATTTATACATTCTAAAATATATCCTTGCAGAATATAAAAATATATACATTAAATTGGTTGAAATTTTTTATTAATTCCTTAAAATAGTGAATATACTGGAAATCAACTATAATTTGCATATAATAATTTGATATCTTTAAACTATCTTTTTTTATTATATATTTTTTTTTAATTTATAAACAAATCATTTATTAATATTAAATAGATTTAATAAAATATATTAAATATAAATCTATTTGATAAACTTAATTTAAATTATGCTGTATATATACAGCCAATTTTTTTTTGAGTACCCGTAGCCAGGCTAGATTGTCAGTTTATTAATCAAATGAAGACAAAAGTACATTTTCATTC